CTCGATGACCAGCATTCGGATGACTGGGGGTATCTCGGCCTCCTAGCAGAGCAACAACAACCTCCAGGCCAAGCACCAGCAGCAGCAGCCGCTCAAGCTGACCGTGGTCACCCGCCAGGAGCAGCGTTACAATGGCCCTAACTGCCTCAACACCGGAGCCGCCGCAACAGAAGCTCAACAACAGGACCATTTCCACTCCGCAGCTAAGCGGCCTGCCCCAGAAGCGTCAGTTTGCCTCCGGTGGTGCCTCTATCAAGGGCAAGCTGGTGACACCAACAGCAACACCCTCAAGTTGAACACACGCACGGCGTTGGCTGTCCTGGAGAACGGCAACTCGTCAACGGGAATTACCACGGTCACCCTATCACCGGCAGCCATTGAGCGGGACTTGGAAGGCAGGCCGTTGCGTCGAGGCTATGTGCCCGTCGACCAGAAGATCCAGCAGGAGCTGCAGGACCTCAAGACGGAGCTTGACGCGAGACGGAGCTGAAGCGCCTGCGCAAGATTAACAAGCACCCAGTCCACCCAGCAGTTGGATAGAAATGGGCAAGTGTTAGATAACCTACTTAAAGAAGTTTGATTCTCATTGAATTTTCATTCTTATATCAACAGCAACGAGCCGGAGAACGTACACAAGCCCGCTGGCAATCGCAGCCTGAATGCAGCCGCCTACATAGCCAATGGAGCCAGCAATGGCAGCGGCGTCGATCGGGTGCTAGCATACGACCCTGTAAAGCTGTGACTATTGGCAGACAACCACGTGCAGCTTTGACTATCCTATGTTTTGGGTTATGGTGAATGAACTCTGGAGCAGCCACATGATTAGGATGAGCTGGATCAAGACCAGGGCTTGCTGGTCACAGGCCGGCCGGCGGCAGTGCAGACCACTTCGTTCCTGGTCACCATTGATGAGCTATCCAAGCTTGAACAGCGCCAAGGAGGAAAGCCTCGATGACTAGCATTCGGATGACTGGGGGTATCTCGGCCTCCTAGCAGAGCAACAATAACCTCCAGGCCAAGCACCAGGAGCAGCAGCCGCTCAAGCTGACCGTGGTCACCCGCCAGGAGCAGCGTTAACTGGCTCAACACCGGAGCCGCCGCAGCAGCAGCTCATCACCAGGACCATTTTCACTCCGCAGCTAAGCGGCCTGCCCCAGAAGCATCAGTTTGCCTTCGGTGGAGCCTCTACCAAGGGCGTGATGCAGCGGTTTATTGCCTTCCATGGCAAGCTAGTGAAACCAAGCTAGCAACACCCTCAAGCTGAACACACGCACGGCGTTTGCCGTCCTGGAGAACGGCAACTCGGCAACGGGTATTACCACGGTTGCCCTATAACCGGCTGCCAACGAGCGGGACTTGGAAGGCAGGCCGTTGCGTCAAGGCTATGTGCCCGTCGAGCAGAAGATCCAGCAGGAGCTGCAGGACCTCAAGACGGAGCTTGACGCGAGTCGGAGCTAAAGCGCCTGCGCAAGATTAACAAGCAGAACACACTGAAGGCTTCGCCGGACAAGCTGTGAGTACAGGTCAAGGCTTTCAAGAATCGTCCTCTTATCATCTCACGTTTTTCGTCTCCAGCCAACTCAGCACAGACGACGAGACCGATCCAGATGACGATGAGGACTCTGAGGTGAAGCACTGCTATGGACCCGGAAAACTGCACAATGCCCAGTCCACCCAGCAGTTGGATAGAAATGGGCAAGTGTTAGATAACCTACTTAAAGAAGTTTGACCCTCATTTAATTTTCATTCTTATATCAACAGCAACGAGCCGGAAAACGTACACAAGCCTGCTGGCAATCGCAGCCTGAATGCAGCATTATTGAGATGCGTCCGGCCATGTCGCTGGCCCAGACCTGTGATCTGATGCCCGAAGAGGCGCCCTCATCGCGGGGCTCACTGCCCAGTGGGAAAGCCTGATTGATCAATAAGAAAGCCGAGAACGGGACGGTTATTGAGGCGTCCATCACTACTTTTAAAAAAGGTACCAAATCCATTATCACAAGCTTTTTGCAGTGTGACCAACCCATGTTTCGCTACTTTTATATCGAAGTGTGACCGCTTTGACTTTCAGCTGGTTGCCTGCAGCCATCTGAAGCAGCGACCATCAGCTAAAATGGCGCCATTTGCAGCATTGACTATCGGCAGACAACCACGTGCAGCTTTGACATCCTACGTTTTGGGTTATGGTGAATGGCCTCAGGAGCAGCCACATGATTAGGATGAGCTGGATCAAGACCAGGGCTTGCTGGTCACAGCCCGGCCGGCGGCAGTGCAGACCACTTCGTTCCTGGTCACCATTGATGAGCTATCCAAGCTTGAACAGCGCCAAGGAGGAGAGCCTCGATGACCAGCATTCGGATGACTGGGGGTATCTCGGCCTCCTAGCAGAGCAACAATAACCTCCAGGCCAAGCACCAGGAGCAGCAGCCGCCGCTCAAGCTGACCGTGGTCACCTGCCAGGAGCAGCGTTACATTGGCCCCAACTGCCTCAACACCGAAGCCGCCGCAACAGAAGCTCATCACCAGGACCATTTCCACTCCGCAGCTAAGCGGCCTGCCCCAGAAGCGTCAGTTTGCCTCAGGTGGTGCCTCTACCAAGGGCGTGATGCAGCGGCTTATTGCCTCTCATGGCAAGCTGGTGACACCAACAGCAACACCCTCAAGTTGAACACACGCACGGCGTTTGCTGTCCTGGAGAACGGCAACTGGCCAGCGGGCATTACAACGGTCACCCTATCACGGGCAGCCATCGAGCGGAACTTAAAGGCAGGCCGTTGCGTCGAGGCTATGTGCCCGCCGAGCAGAAGATCCAGCAGGAGCTGCAGGACGTCAAGACGGAGCTGAAGCGCCTGCGCAAGATTAACAAGCAGAGCACACTGAAGGCTTCGCTGGACAAGCTGTGAGTATAGGTCAAGGCTTTCAAGAATCGTCCTCTTATCATCTTACGGTTTTCGTCTACAGGCAACTCAGCACAGCCACAGGATCTGGATGAGCTTGGTGAAGACCAGGGCGTGCTGGTCACAGCCCAGCCGGCGGCAGTGCAGACCACTTCGCTCCTGGTCACCATTGATGAGCTATCCAAGCGTGAACAGCGCCAAGGAGAAGAGCCTCGATGACCAGCTTTGGGATGACTCGGGGGGTATCTCGGCCTCCTAGCAGAGCAACAACAACCTCCAGGCCAAGCACCAGCAGCAGCAGCCGCTCAAGCTGACCGTGGTCACCCGCCAGGAGCAGCGTTAACTGGCTCAACACCGGAGCCGCCGCAGCAGCAGCTCATCACCAGGACCATTTCCACTCCGCAGCTAAGCGGCCTGCCCCAGAAGCATCAGTTTGCCTTCGGTGGAGCCTCTACCAAGGGCGTGATGCAGCGGTTTATTGCCTTCCATGGCAATCTAGTGACACCAAGCTAGCAACACCCTCAAGCTGAACACACGCACGGCGTTTGCCGTCCTGGAGAACGGCAACGGGTATTACCACGGTTGCCCTATAACAGGCTGCCATCGAGCGGGACTTGGAAGGCAGGCCGTTGCGTCAAGGCTATGTGCCCGTCGAGCAGAAGATCCAGCAGGAGCTGCAGGACCTCAAGACGGAGCTTGACGCGAGCCGGAGCTAAAGCGCCTGCGCAAGATTAACAAGCAGAACACACTGAAGGCTTCGCCGGACAAGCTGTGAGTACAGGTTAAGGCTTTCATGGATCCTTTTGTTATCTTACATATTTTCGTTTTCAGCCAGCACAGCACAGACGACGAGGCCGATGCGGATGACGATGACGTTGAGGAATCTGAGGTGAAGCACTGCTATGGACCCTGAAAACTGCGCAATGCCCAGTCCGCCCAGCATTTGGATAGAAATGGGCAAGTGTTAGATAACCTACTTAAAGAAGTTTGATTCTCATTGAATTTTCAATCTTTATCAACAGCAGCGAACCGGTGAACGTACACAAGCCCACTGGCAATCGCAGCCTGAATGCAGCATTATTGGGATGCGTCCGGCCATGTCGCTGGCCCAAACCTGTGATCTGATGCCCGAAGAGGCGCCCTCATCGCGGGGCCTCACTGCCCAGTGTGAAAGCCTGATCAAGAAGAATGTCGAGAACGGGACGGTTATTGAGGCGGCCATCACTACTTTTAAAAAAGGTACCAAATCCATTATCACAAGCTTTTTGCAGTGTGACCAACCCATGTTTCGCTACTTTTATATCGAAGTGTGACCGCATTGACTTTCAGCTGGTTGCCCGCAGCCATGTGCAACAGCGACGATCACCTGGCATGGATGCATTTGCAGCATTGACTATCGATTGCTGGCATGGAACCACGTGCAGCTTTGACATTCTACGTTTTAGGTTATGGTGAAAGCACTCAGGATGACTCAGGGTATCTCGGCCTCCTAGCAGAGCAAAAACAACCTCCAGGCCAAGCACCAGGAGCAGCAGCCGCTCAAGCTGACCGTGGTCACCTGCCAGGAGCAGCGTTACATTGGTCCCAACTGCCTCAACACCGGAGCCGCCGCAACAGAAGCTCATCACCAGGACCATTTTCACTCCGCAGCTAAGCGGCCTGCCCCAGAAGCGTCAGTTTGCCTCCGGTGGTGCCTCTATCAAGGGCGTGATGCAGCGGCTTATTGCCTCTCATGGCAAGCTGGTGACACCAACAGCAACACCCCCAAGTTGAACACACGCACGGCGTTGGCTGTCCTGGAGAACGGCAACTCGTCAACGGGAATTACCACGGTCACCCTATCACCGGCAGCCATTGAGCGGGACTTGGAAGGCAGGCCGTTGCGTCGAGGCTATGTGCCCGTCGACCAGAAGATCCAGCAGGAGCTGCAGGACCTCAAGACGGAGCTTGACGCGAGACGGAGCTGAAGCGCCTGCGCAAGATTAACAAGCAGAACACACAGAAGGCTTCGCCGGACAAGCTGTGAGTACAGGTTAAGGCTTTCATGGATCCTATTGTTATCTTACATTTTTTCATTTTCAGCCAGCACAGCACAGACGACGAGGCCGATGCGGACGACGATGATGATGAAGACTCTGAGGTGGAGCACTGCTAATGACCCGGAAAACTGCACAATGTCCAGTCGTCTAGCAGCTTATGCTGCAGGAGGACCAGCGGCCAAGCGATCTTATATCCGAAACCGACCCGGTAAAATGCCGCTGGCTAAAGAAGTGGATTAATAAGTGCGACGACGACTCAGAAACGTCCAACTGGATCGCGACCAATGCCAAAGAGTGTCCCAAGTGCAGTGTGACCATTGAGAAAGACGGCGGTTGCAACCATATGGTGTGCAAGAATCAGAACTGCAAGAACAAGTTCTGTTGGGTCTGGCTCGGCTCCTGGGAGCCGCACGGCTCCTCCTGGTACAACTGTAACCGGTATGATGAGAATGAGACCAAGACAGCTCGTGATGCCCAAGAGAAATTGCGCTCATCCCTAGCTAGGTGAGTTTTTATATTATCCAAATTTTTGTCGAAAGCTTGTAATACTGTGAAGGAGTCATTTTCGACCCTATAAATATTATATATATATTCTAGATCAGCATCATCAGCCATAAAGAGTCGAAAGAGTAAGATCTTATAATTAATTTAGGCTTTTTACTTTGAGTATACTTTTGTAGATATCATCAACACAAATTACTAAATCACTTTCAATTAACACTAAGTAATGGGATCTATGGCAATAAGGGAAAATAAATGCATAGCTAGCAGAGCTTAATCTAGACCAAGGGCAGATCCCTCCTATAGCATCTATATTGTCATGATTAGGACTTACCCCAGTGGAGGACACGTCATTGTTTACTTCTTTCCATATAATAATATAATTGCCATGATTAAGACTTACCTGAGTGTAGAACAAGTCATTGTTTACTTCCTTCCAGTGTAGAATTCGAATCTTGTTGACTTCAATTAGGGTAGTCATAATAATGAAGATCACTTCCTGGTTATCCAGATGCATTTTATTGGCCACGTCATTCTTTTAAACACTATCACTATCGATGTAAACACTAGGTACCCCTAGGACAGACTGAGGTCGCGGCGAACGAAGTGCCTCTATTTATAGTTCCCGAGTCAAGAGAACAGAGGAAGTGAGAGCGAGAGAGTAAGAGATAGGCAGAGAAACATACAGAGAAAGAGTTAGCTCTGGAGATGCACAGTGGGAGTTGGACCTACCGGATAACAAGAGGCAGAAAGAGTAAGAGAGAGGGAGAAAGGGAGAGAGCTGTCGATGCTGATCAAGAATATGTTTATTAAATAAGGGCGTTACTGCGTTCCAAACTTTTGAGTAAAATTATAATATAAAATGATAAAAAAAATGTGGATTTTAAGATTCTTGCAGAGGAAAATATAATTTCAATCAGTGAAGGAGTTATTTTCGGCTCTATAGGGTCGTACTCAATACCCTACCCAGCGGGAGCTGCAGGATCTCAAGACGGAGCTAGACGCGAGACGGAGCTGAAGGGCCTGAAGGCTTCGCGGGACAAGCTGTGAGTACAGGTCAAGGCTTTCAAGAATCGTCCTCTTATCATCTTACGTTTTTCGTCACCAGCCAACTCAGCACAGACGACGAGGCCGATGCGGATGACGATGACGATGAGGAATCTGAGGTGCAGCACTGCTATGGACCCGGAAAACTGCACAATGCCCAGTCCACCCAGCAGTTGGATAGAAATGGGCAAGTGTTAGATAACCTACTTAAAGAAGTTTTATTCTCATTGAATTTTCATTCTTATATCAACAGCAACGAGCCGGAGAACGTACACAAGCCCGCTGGCAATCGCAGCCTGAATGCAGCCGCCTACATAGCCAATGGAGCCAGCAATGGCAGCGGCGTCGATCGGCTGCTAGCATACGACCCTGTAAAGCTGTGACTATCGGCAGACAACCACGTGCACCTTTGACTATCCTATGTTTTGGGTTATGGTGAATGAACTCTGGAGCAGCCACAGGATCAGGGCCTGCCAGGAGCGCCAAGGAGGAGAGCCTCGATGACCAGCATTCGGATGACTGGGGGTATCTCGGCCTCCTAGCAGAGCAACAATAACCTCCAGGCCAAGCACCAGGAGCAGCAGCCGCTCAAGCTGACCGTGGTCACCTGCCAGGAGCAGCGTTACATTGGCCCCAACTGCCTCAACACCGAAGCCGCCGCAACAGAAGCTCATCACCAGGACCATTTCCACTCCGCAGCTAAGCGGCCTGCCCCAGAAGCGTCAGTTTGCCTCAGGTGGTGCCTCTACCAAGGGCGTGATGCAGCGGCTTATTGCCTCTCATGGCAAGCTGGTGACACCAACAGCAACACCCTCAAGTTGAACACACGCACGGCGTTTGCTGTCCTGGAGAACGGCAACTGGCCAGCGGGCATTACAACGGTCACCCTATCACGGGCAGCCATCGAGCGGAACTTAAAGGCAGGCCGTTGCGTCGAGGCTATGTGCCCGCCGAGCAGAAGATCCAGCAGGAGCTGCAGGACGTCAAGACGGAGCTGAAGCGCCTGCGCAAGATTAACAAGCAGAGCACACTGAAGGCTTCGCTGGACAAGCTGTGAGTATAGGTCAAGGCTTTCAAGAATCGTCCTCTTATCATCTTACGGTTTTCGTCTACAGGCAACTCAGCACAGCCACAGGATCTGGATGAGCTTGGTGAAGACCAGGGCGTGCTGGTCACAGCCCAGCCGGCGGCAGTGCAGACCACTTCGCTCCTGGTCACCATTGATGAGCTATCCAAGCGTGAACAGCGCCAAGGAGAAGAGCCTCGATGACCAGCTTTGGGATGACTCGGGGGGGTATCTCGGCCTCCTAGCAGAGCAACAACAACCTCCAGGCCAAGCACCAGCAGCAGCAGCCGCTCAAGCTGACCGTGGTCACCCGCCAGGAGCAGCGTTACAATGGCCCTAACTGCCTCAACACCGGAGCCGCCGCAACAGAAGCTCAACAACAGGACCATTTCCACTCCGCAGCTAAGCGGCCTGCCCCAGAAGCGTCAGTTTGCCTCCGGTGGTGCCTCTATCAAGGGCAAGCTGGTGACACCAACAGCAACACCCTCAAGTTGAACACACGCACGGCGTTGGCTGTCCTGGAGAACGGCAACTCGTCAACGGGAATTACCACGGTCACCCTATCACCGGCAGCCAACGAGCGGGACTTGGAAGGCAGGCCGTTGCGTCGAGGCTATGTGCCCGTCGACCAGAAGATCCAGCAGGAGCTGCAGGACCTCAAGACGGAGCTTGACGCGAGACGGAGCTGAAGCGCCTGCGCAAGATTAACAAGCACCCAGTCCACCCAGCAGTTGGATAGAAATGGGCAAGTGTTAGATAACCTACTTAAAGAAGTTTGATTCTCATTGAATTTTCATTCTTATATCAACAGCAACGAGCCGGAGAACGTACACAAGCCCGCTGGCAATCGCAGCCTGAATGCAGCCGCCTACATAGCCAATGGAGCCAGCAATGGCAGCGGCGTCGATCGGGTGCTAGCATACGACCCTGTAAAGCTGTGACTATTGGCAGACAACCACGTGCAGCTTTGACTATCCTATGTTTTGGGTTATGGTGAATGAACTCTGGAGCAGCCACATGATTAGGATGAGCTGGATCAAGACCAGGGCTTGCTGGTCACAGGCCGGCCGGCGGCAGTGCAGACCACTTCGTTCCTGGTCACCATTGATGAGCTATCCAAGCTTGAACAGCGCCAAGGAGGAAAGCCTCGATGACCAGCATTCGGATGACTGGGGGTATCTCGGCCTCCTAGCAGAGCAACAATAACCTCCAGACCAAGCACCAGGAGCAGCAGCCGCTCAAGCTGACCGTGGTCACCCGCCAGGAGCAGCGTTAACTGGCTCAACACCGGAGCCGCCGCAGCAGCAGCTCATCACCAGGACCATTTCCACTCCGCAGCTAAGCGGCCTGCCCCAGAAGCATCAGTTTGCCTTCGGTGGAGCCTCTACCAAGGGCGTGATGCAGCGGTTTATTGCCTTCCATGGCAATCTAGTGACACCAAGCTAGCAACACCCTCAAGCTGAACACACGCACGGCGTTTGCCGTCCTGGAGAACGGCAACGGGTATTACCACGGTTGCCCTATAACAGGCTGCCATCGAGCGGGACTTGGAAGGCAGGCCGTTGCGTCAAGGCTATGTGCCCGTCGAGCAGAAGATCCAGCAGGAGCTGCAGGACCTCAAGACGGAGCTTGACGCGAGTCGGAGCTAAAGCGCCTGCGCAAGATTAACAAGCAGAACACACTGAAGGCTTCGCCGGACAAGCTGTGAGTACAGGTTAAGGCTTTCATGGATCCTTTTGTTATCTTACATATTTTCGTTTTCAGCCAGCACAGCACAGACGACGAGGCCGATGCGGATGACGATGACGTTGAGGAATCTGAGGTGAAGCACTGCTATGGACCCTGAAAACTGCGCAATGCCCAGTCCGCCCAGCATTTGGATAGAAATGGGCAAGTGTTAGATAACCTACTTAAAGAAGTTTGATTCTCATTGAATTTTCAATCTTTATCAACAGCAGCGAACCGGTGAACGTACACAAGCCCACTGGCAATCGCAGCCTGAATGCAGCATTATTGGGATGCGTCCGGCCATGTCGCTGGCCCAAACCTGTGATCTGATGCCCGAAGAGGCGCCCTCATCGCGGGGCCTCACTGCCCAGTGTGAAAGCCTGATCAAGAAGAATGCCGAGAACGGGACGGTTATTGAGGCGGCCATCACTACTTTTAAAAAAGGTACCAAATCCATTATCACAAGCTTTTTGCAGTGTGACCAACCCATGTTTCGCTACTTTTATATCGAAGTGTGACCGCATTGACTTTCAGCTGGTTGCCCGCAGCCATGTGCAACAGCGACGATCACCTGGCATGGATGCATTTGCAGCATTGACTATCGATTGCTGGCATGGAACCACGTGCAGCTTTGACATTCTACGTTTTAGGTTATGGTGAAAGCACTCAGGATGACTCAGGGTATCTCGGCCTCCTAGCAGAGCAAAAACAACCTCCAGGCCAAGCACCAGGAGCAGCAGCCGCTCAAGCTGACCGTGGTCACCTGCCAGGAGCAGCGTTACATTGGCCCCAACTGCCTCAACACCGGAGCCGCCGCAACAGAAGCTCATCACCAGGACCATTTTCACTCCGCAGCTAAGCGGCCTGCCCCAGAAGCGTCAGTTTGCCTCCGGTGGTGCCTCTATCAAGGGCAAGCTGGTGACACCAACAGCAACACCCTCAAGCTGAACACACGCACGGCGTTGGCTGTCCTGGAGAACGGCAACTGGCCAGCGCGCATTACGACGGTCACCCTATCACCGGCAGCCATCGAGCGGGACTTAGAAGGCAGGCCGTTGCGTCGAGGCTATGTGCCCGCCGAGCAGAAGATCGAGCAGGAGCTGCAGGACGTCAAGACGGAGCTGAAGCGCCTGCGCAAGATTAACAAGCAGAGCACACTGAAGGCTTCGCTGGACAAGCTGTGAGTATAGGTCAAGGCTTTCAAGAATCGTCCTCTTATCATCTTACGGTTTTCGTCTACAGGCAACTCAGCACAGCCACAGGATCTGGATGAGCTTGGTGAAGACCAGGGCGTGCTGGTCACAGCCCAGCCGGCGGCAGTGCAGACCACTTCGCTCCTGGTCACCATTGATGAGCTATCCAAGCGTGAACAGCGCCAAGGAGAAGAGCCTCGATGACCAGCTTTGGGATGACTCGGGGGGGTATCTCGGCCTCCTAGCAGAGCAAAAACAACCTCCAGGCCAAGCACCAGGAGCAGCAGCCGCTCAAGCTGACCGTGGTCACCTGCCAGGAGCAGCGTTACATTGGTCCCAACTGCCTCAACACCGGAGCCGCCGCAACAGAAGCTCATCACCAGGACCATTTTCACTCCGCAGCTAAGCGGCCTGCCCCAGAAGCGTCAGTTTGCCTCCGGTGGTGCCTCTATCAAGGGCGTGATGCAGCGGCTTATTGCCTCTCATGGCAAGCTGGTGACACCAACAGCAACACCCCCAAGTTGAACACACGCACGGCGTTGGCTGTCCTGGAGAACGGCAACTCGTCAACGGGAATTACCACGGTCACCCTATCACCGGCAGCCATTGAGCGGGACTTGGAAGGCAGGCCGTTGCGTCGAGGCTATGTGCCCGTCGACCAGAAGATCCAGCAGGAGCTGCAGGACCTCAAGACGGAGCTTGACGCGAGACGGAGCTGAAGCGCCTGAGCAAGATTAACAAGCAGAACACACTGAAGGCTTCGCTGGACAAGCTGTGAGTACAGGATAGATAACCTACTTAAAGAAGTTTGATTCTCATTGAATTTTCATTCTTATATCAAAAGCAACGAGCTGGAGAACGTACACAAGCCCGCTGGCAACCGCAGCCTGAATGCAGCATTAATGGGATGCGTCCGGCCATGTCGCTGGCCCAGATCTGTGATCTGATGCCCGAGGAGGCGCCCTAATCGCGAGGCCTCCACTGCCCAGTGGGAAAGGCTGGTCAAGAAGAATGCTGAAAACGGGACGGTTATTGAGGCGGTCATCTAAGAGGACGAACGGAAGAGGGTATCAGAGAGTCCTCTTTCCTCCCCTCCCCCCCAAA